ACCAGACTACAAGTATCGAGCACAGTCCCGTGTTGAGGGACTGTGTATCAAGGGATGGTGGTCGCTACTTGGCAGACTTCACCCCTCCAAACCGTCAACTGTATTTAATTGTGCAGTCATCCGTCTTGTATGAAATAGAAAAAAATCTCAGAAACTCAATTTTCACTGACAACTACAGATCAAATCGATAATAACGTTTTGAACGGTCTTCATTCCTCATATATGTTTTGCCGTTAGAGGGCGCGAGTTAAGAACAGGTAAAGGTGTATAATATTTCCGAAATGCAACGATTCGTCGCACCTGGCATTATTCCTTCCGGGGGGGGGGTGGCTACTTGCATAGAAGTGCAATACGGGTATGTGCCGCCCGACTGGGGTGCCATTTCACGTTATTTTGTTTAGAAGTGGGTAGTCATTTATCAATGTTTTGGTTTCGAAGTGTGTAGCACTTATTTACTTTTTCACAGGTTCTTATATTCAAAGCCAAATTCCGGAAAAGGCTGAATAAAATGCATTGCCGGGTGCGCTCACTGGTTGCAAAAGTTGTGGGCTGGGTGGTTTTTTTTTCGCTGAAAACACTTGTGTTTAGAAGTGGGTATATAAATACAAAAAAATGGTTTAGAAGTGAGTATGGTTTACGAGAGGTGGGCTTCACACCCTTACCCACTTAATGTGGAAGTAGCCCCCCCCCCGGTATTCCTTCGTATCATACGCATCCAGTAACCGATGTGAACTCAGCAGTTATTTAACTTCAAAACATAATCACAATCGACAATGTATATATACATTGACTGCTACTTGTTGGGGGTGCTCTGATTCAATCAACGTCTCCATATTTTGTATTAGGAGAGGACCATTTGATATCCTGGGGGGCGGGAAGATTTTGTGAAAAAAATTTTTTAAAGAATGATTTTCATTGGTCCTTTCCCTCAACAATTTAACAGTTCTTTCACAATGACTTTCTGCTGTATTTCTGTATAAACTGTCTCTAACAATTAATTTATTATCGATAGGGGTGGTGGATTGACGAACATCTCACCGACTGAGGGCAGTATTGCAATAGCTAACTAAATACGTAACAGACGTATTATTCCGTGTTAAAATAGTTCAGGTGTGATCCTGATAGAAGTAAACACGGAAACAATATTAGAATATGAAACTGAATAGCAAGAAAGCCTATGTCGATACAGAACTCAAATTTATCCGTAATTCGATCATGCAATAGTGTGATAGTGCTGTTTCGGGTTCAAAGAACCCTTCATCAGTCGGAACAGTACTTGACCGAATCGTTCGATTTATTTAGCTTTCAGAATGTTCGACGTTATTACTTTCATTATACAATTTAGTATACAAATCGATTCCAGATTGTACATTTATGTAACGAGCTCATGGATCAAATTCGTTGTGACTATGGTATCGTTACCACTAATTTTAGTATAATAGTATTACTCGTTGTTTAGTTGACGAAGGCTTTCATATATATATAGTCAGTTGTATTCATGATTGCAATGCCACGACTTTTCTCGAATGGTTTTATTACAATTGTGTTACTAGTATCATTTATCGCTGCTCTTTCAGCAAAATTCATGTTTTGTTTGGGTTTATTGGTAGTAATTTTGGATATCTCAACTTTGGTTGCCTCGATGTAATTTTCGAGGTTACTGTTATGCGAGTCTGGTGGGTTCCATCTCAGACTAGTAATACAATATATTACTAGTCTGAGGTTCCATGTTGATTACATGTTGAAAGGGTGTTGCTGAGATTGTTTATTACGCATTAGATATTTGATACGCATTCTCCTAAAAAACATAGACATGTCTCTGAGCAAAGTGTGATAGGTTGACTTAGGTGGGGTTGGTATAAATTTGAGTCCGTTGCCAAGAGCAATGACCTCTGAATATAATTTGAAACCAACTGAGCTTGATCAGCCAACCGTTTATTTTTAGCCAGTTTTGCATTGTAATTCTTTATTCGTTTGCATCTTGCAATGTGTTTCTTACATGAGAAGTGTCTATTGCGTTTTGTGTTATTGATTGTATCTCATTCTAAGGTCTATGATTGTATGGGCAGAGTCCATAGTAATAATGATAGTTCCCTTTTTGGAGGATGTGCTGACCCTGAAAAAGGCCGTTTGGTTTGTGTGCCGAAGCACTGGTTATTTAAGGCTAGAAGTGCGTTTCCTGTCCTTTCAGGGGTCCAGCACTCTTTTCTTCGATTGTTTGAGGAATTGCCTTAGTTTTTCAACAGCCAGAGCCTGATGTTCTTTTCCAGCCAGGCATTTGATATCTGCAAACGCTTCCTTCTTTACCAGAATGGTCTGGAATATTTTCAGGTGGGTCGGTAAATAAATGTCAAGTAGTTAAGTGTACTATTTCGAAGCTGTTTAGAAGTACTAGTTTGGAAGATCGTGGTTTGGAAGAGAGAAAACATCCACGAGGTGGACTGATAGCAAAACCCTTTCATGATGTTAAAGAGGGCTATTATAAGTCATCTACTTTACTTAAAGCGGGAGAGTCGTCACCTGTGCATGCGTCAGATGGCCACAGCGTGTCATTGTTTACAAACAAGCGCCTGCCCATGAGCCTTTGCGTTTTTAGCGTGTGTTGTTATCGTGGCTTGGGACTCAATCCCCGCGCGTGCGCAGGTGACGATCCTCCCGCTTTAAAATACTGAAAAAATATAAAAACTGTTGAGTGCAAAAAAAAAAATCGATACAAGGTCTGCTAAAAAAATTCCATATCAGATAGGGGAAAAAAAAGTAGGCTTCAGTTCAATCTTCCTGGACCCCACATGATATCAACTGGTCCGCCCCTTATTGTTCGCTCTCGCACTATAGCAGATGTTAACAATCACCTCTCATTAAAAATAAATTATATTGTCGTTTTATTACTGTGTGTCATGTAATATTGCACTAAATATTGTGAAATAGTATTTACTCAAGCGTAAGTGACATTTTAGATCTAGTTATGTTAAAGGGCGGTGGTCGTCGCTCCTCGCATGTGTTGACACACCTCTTTGATTCGAGTTGATCAAACGTATTGTATGTTGAAATCTCTGTGTTCGTCACTGGGTATACCCAAATGTGCCATAAATGTTAATCTTAAACTGTTATTTATTCCAAATGCTTTTAAATTGTCGCTACTGAGCTGTATAGAATCGTTCATTGACGTTTCATTGACGTTTCATCGACTTCATATGACAATGGGTCTGTGTTGAGGGTGATCATGGCGTGGAATCCATCTCATTTGCATTGTTTCCATGTTACTGGCATACTGATATCTATATACGTAGAAAATAACACTGTCTCGCGATACATCAAATTCCACAGTAACGATATATGCTGGTGTACCGCCATGGACCCCCCCCCCCCGACACAAGTCTGCGGTACACATCAGCTCAGTTTCCGACCTCGCACCTACAATCGATGACTCTCTTCAGAAATCAGTCTGTAGCATGCCTTTTACACGCCACATATTACATAAACCAAGTCTTCCTCCTGTCAAAACGTGTTCTGGACTACTGGTAAAACTAGTACAGTGGCAAATCTGAAACTATTTGCATAACATTTGCATCTGCAACCAATCAAAAAGTGACTACCACCCATCTGGCTAAATTCTGGCTGCATTTATTCAGTAATTCAGCATACCATTGTGTACATACAATGTCACATATGATTCACCTTGTATCTAATTACTTGCTTAGATACCGGCGATCCTAATGTGACCCGCTAACGATAGCTATATTCAAATGCATGTTATCCACAAAAAAGCACTGAGGTATACAACCCAGACTTATTCTGTTACCGGTAGTACAATGTTTTCCATTCAGTTCCACCTAGCAGTCGGTCATTATAGACATGAGGCTTGTGAGACATTCTGTGCATCACATCGCATCGCATCACATCGCATCGCATCGCATCACATCACATCACATCGCATCGCATCGCATCGCATCGCATCGCATCGCATCGCATCACATCACATCACATCGCATCGCATCACATCGCATCGCATCATATCACATCACATCACATCACATTGCCTCACATCATATCACATCACATCACATCGCATCACATTGCATCGCATCACATCGCATCACATCACATCACATGACATGACATCGCATCACATCGCATCACATCGCATCGCATCACATCGCATCACATCACATCGCATCGCATCACATCGCATCGCATCACATCACATCACATCACATCACATCACATCGCATCACATCACATCGCATCACATCACATCGCATCGCATCACATCGCATCGCATTGCATCAAATTAACTTTCGAAGCGGTATCCAGTAGATTAATGTGGGAAGACATTGCGTATAGCTCTCCAGAAGACGCACGAGGGTAATAATATGTATAGGGGACTTTTTGTACACAAAGCGTTCAACCAAATTGTATCACAGACTAGGTTAAGAGATGCTACATATGGTTTTACATTTATAGCTTAATTTATTAAAATTATGTATGGATTCTCATAATATTTCGAGGAAAGGTATATTGCCATGTTAATATTCACTAACTAGTTAAACACATACAAACAATTATGCAAAACTGACACCAAACATTACACATTGAGAGGCAAACATTTGTGAAGGATAAGATGGGATGAGATTTCGGCGGTTCTATTGGATAATTTGGTAAAAATGCCCATTTATGACAAAATGTAATTCTAATGTTTACAAATTATCACGACTGAATTGCAAGAAGTCATCCATTGACTGTTTACTGACTTCAGACGCAAATGGGCCCAGGAAACGACCGAACATGGCATGATATCCACTTTCGTAGTGTTTCTATGTTACTGGCACATTGCCATCTTCCAGTTTCTTTGCGTAGAAAATACCATCATCTCGCAATACATCAAATTCCGCTGTAACGATATATGCCAGTGGCAATCCTTTCACAGTAGATGCCATCAGTGGGGCAAAGAATGGATTCAGAATATAGCTCTCCAGGTGTGCTGAGATTTCCAAATCACCAAAGTCTGAATCGTTCGGTGGAGTATAAGCTCGCTGTTTGAATTCTGTGGGTATGACATCATGGTGCGTTATATGCCGCTGATCTTTATTAACGCGAGGTGAAGAGTGATTGTTGGCTTACATCGCCCCAACGTATGTTAGAGAACCAGTTAGATACCACGACCAATATTCAACCATCGTATGTTGATTTAGAACGAAAATATTTTTTATTTTGTTGATAGGAAGGAGTGAGAAAATCAATACTTTGCAGGCATGGATAAATAAGACCCTGGAATTTCAATTCAGGTAGACTTAGTTGTTTGTATTCTTCGTTAAATGTCAACAGAGATGCCGTTGCTGCAGCCATATTCCCTCCGGCGCTGTCACCAACCACAACAATTCGGTGAGGATCAACGTTATAGTTTTTACTATGCTGAAGAAACCATAGAGTAGCTTTGACCACATCTTGTAATGGGATGGGGAATGGATGTTCTGGTGCACGTCGGTAGCTGAATGTTAAAAAAAGATGGTTAAATGTCAGCTGAACGCAACGGCCAATGTGATTCTAACTTGAATCAAAACATGCATACATATAATCTAGCATTCTGAACAAGTATAAGACCAACTGAAAGTTTATTTTAATTCGCACACCATACTGGATGATGTATTGGCACTCTACCTACTAGTGATAAATCTGAAATGGCCTATATTTGGACTATTAAATGTGGAATGTGGAATTCTGACTCGTGAAAAAAGTCACCAAAAAGCAGTAGGTCCAGTAGTCGCTGCGAAATTATTGTATCAGTCAGCAGCTGATGGACGACACACATCGAATACAACAAGATAGCTCTGATCACCATGTTTGTGGCGTTTATAAGTATCAACACTGATCGGTCTGTTTGGAGAACTTGTAATACTTACTCAACAGATACTAGTACAATGCCAAGTCTTGCCGCCATGTAATTGATCTGATATGAATCTGCATGGAGAAGAGGTGGCATTCATGTGCATTGTTGCGTTGTATATTAAAAGTAACCTAGTGCATGTAATATCCACTACGTCAGCAATATATAAAAAATCAAATATGAATTTGTGTTCCCAAATTATGTGATTGTGTTTTAAACATGCATCGAACAAGCAAATGGACATTGAGTCAGATTGTCGTATTGAAATTCGTATGATATAAATTGTGAGCTGCCTTTAGTGGTGTGGGTGGAGAATCAAATCCGTAAAAAATGACATTCATGAAAATCGCATATGCCCGTGTGTTTCAATGTTGACGGCATGGATGTACAGAAGTGAATCGTTTTCGTTAACTATGTTGTCATGAGTTTTTATATGTTCTTAATATGGCTGTTATTTATATCACTTCTACTTGTATTTTATTTACTTATGAGTAGATTATATTTAAAAACAACAACAGTCCGCTGAATATTTTTAAATATATTCTATGGATAATGCAAACTTAAATACACTACCGTGTATCTAGCCACCACCATGAATGTACACCATACCAGTAATGGGTTCCGCTCGTTAGATTTCTCGACAGGTCGATATACACGCGCTCGAACACCGTCAAATATTTCATCATGGAATGTTACACTTGTTCATCACTACTAAAAAATCCTCCTCGAAAATCTACTTCAAATCTTGTGAAATTTACTCTGTCAGTAAAACCAAACAAAACACGACCAATACCCCTGAAAATAGAGTACGGGGATGTTAAGGTAGTGTCAGTAGTAACTGATGTTCTTATTTCATCCACACACAAGCGGAGTTTGTCTTAAAAAGTTTACATTATAGAATGGGATAAAGCAATTGGTTATGTTAGTCTACTGAAGTTATTTACTCACCACAAGTTTTGCGATTTGTCTCGCAGCACATAGTACTCTCAAGTCCATTTGCCATGCGATCCCTTCAGGCAATGGACAGTACATATAATATGCTAATAAGGCACTAAACGCCATACACCAGTAGAGCCTCATTCTGGATCACTTCTGTAGATGCAACGTACAAGACAAAACCTCATGACATATTGAACATATTGAGAAAGACAAAATGCGTTCCTGGTACCTTTGTGTATTGAATGCAATAATAACATGGTGAAATTTACATAATTTGGTAATTTTCGTATTGAAGCCAGTCATATAAAAAATAGTTGAATAATTGAGTACATTAGAAATTATGATCACACGACTTATTTGCATAATGTATGTTTTCGACCACGTGACCAATCAAATATCTATCATAATCGCAAAACACGGTTGAACACAAGTGTTCACGCCCACGTATGCTCAAAGTCTATAAACTTTACGTGAATGTTAATTTCCAATATTACCCTTAGCTTCAATCAAACATCTGCTACTAAGTCCATTTAGTCACAATCTCAGTCGTCGCACTTAGTTGGTCGGAATAATACGTACATGATGTTGGCTATATGTAGGATTCCATTGTTTCTGTTTAACAGCTTAATATTCAACTAACACACAAAAAAGGATCACATTCAACAATGTGAAATTATAAATTGACGAACTTTGATTAAAAGGTCGGTTATTTGAAATATCGGGGGGGGAGGGTCTTTAACATAAGTAAACACTTTCAAATAAAAGTGGTTGTTCCTTTCATAGTTTATATGCGCTAAACATGCGAATACTTAAATTGGTGAGAATCAGTGATAGAGGTAGTCATCCTTAATGTGTCCCTTTCTAAACTATTTTATCTTTATCTATAACCATGCAACTTGTCTGTACCCCTTTAGTGGTGACCCAGTCGCTCACACCATCGCGTCCATTCTTTCAAACACCATGCATTAGATACTTATAACAAGTCGCGTGATTGTCTCTGTGAGATGTCGGCGGCCATTTACGTTCGAAAATAGAAGACGTGGAAATAGATCACTTTCACATTTTATGAAGGAATCAAGTCTGTACTGGATTGGGACGACTCCATGTGGAACTATGCAAATTTTGATGTTGAATGAGAAAAATGTCAGGCAGACCCAACTTTTTTTCTAACATCTGTTTGTACGTATTCGATGATCTACGCCATACAGTAGGATTGCCCCTTTAGGACGCAGAGACATTTCGAAAGCATGATTATGGCCACCCGCCCCTATTATTCGGAGCATTGTCAAGCATATTTTAGTAATCAATGCATTAAGAAAATAATTATCTTAAATTCCATCACGTTTTCATGATCAAGTAATTGTTCCCGTTAATATCAACTTGCAGTCTTGCACCATAATTAACCGACCATTATCTCATTGATGATCTTTCTCAATATTATTAATATTATTAATATTATTAGTTTTTTTTAAGAATAACGTTTGCTTTGGATTTTTTTTTATTAACTCAAAGACCTTTTTTGTTTTGTTTTTTAAAGGGGTGTATATTAAACTAAAAAATAAATTAATCCGCTTGTTCAACCATGGGATTATTTTGTACTCAAAGAAACAACAAAAATATCCAGAACAAAATGAGCATGAAATATGCAATCCATTATTAGTACCAGTTGTGTAGGAGTCGGTATGCAAATCAGACAGCAATAATATGCAAAATAACCCACATAAATGACTACATAATATGTATTGTCAGGCACACATACGTGGTTTATTATATACAACCCAAATTACTCAAGTAATTTATAACTACTAAACATTTGTTTATAATTATACAATTACACAGAAAAGTCTGAAACGAATATAGACCGCTACACAAGTTACCACGATCACACTGTCACACTCGCTGGGTCATGAAACCCCATACATTACGTTTAGTGCCAGGTAGTGTGAATTGCTAGGTTCCAGACCACAGAATGTTGTCAGAATGTGGATTAAATTTCATTTGCATATCCAGTACATTCGGATATTTGAGGAATGCATTAAAACAAGCAATATGTGATGGTACATGTAGACACAGTGAACTATTGTGCCACGATGTATCTCTTCAAACAATTACCACCCTCCCTCCCCAAAAAAGAAAGAACGCAATCCGACCAGGAGCAGTTGTTTTATTTGAACGTAAGTTGAAACATTTGTAATAATGATGTTCAGCACGTGTAGTCGCATGATTGTACTGTTCAGCAGACACAAATACATGCAGTATTTCTACCACACACCATCTTGTATGTCTTTTTTTAAATATAATATAGACATCAATGCTCAAGTACGATATTGATATGTTGAATGTCTCGTGTTGAAAACACACTGACGTTACGTCATTGTTATGATAATTTATATTATATTGATAATCTCGTAATAATGCCAAATAATATACGTTTAATAACTCAAGAATCGAAGATACATCGAAGCTATAGTTTTTATTTTGTTTTAAACGAAGCAAAATATGTAAAAAGAGCATACATTATGAATTATAATCGGGGGCCACATACTGATTTGTTACATACCTTAGTATTCTCCAGTCGCGTCTATCCATGGTTCCGCAACTACTTTTATACGATTCATATTTGACCCGTTCCCAGGGTTCAATGCGCGTAACATTTAACCACCACAGGCTCATTGTGTTCGAGGTGACAAACCGGAGAATCTCTCAAATCTCATCCACCTATAGTGATCTTTGGACAAAACGTCTTCAAACATTTGTTTACGAAATCGCGTAAATGGATTATTCAGTTGATGTAACAATAAGTAGTCGGATTAAGTAGAAAAACTTGACCCAGCTGACTGTTCATTCCAAATGTGTCAATCCGCCATTTTAGAACCAATTGGTTTTTGATGATCATTCTGATCACAAATCCAAGGTTTGTTTATTCTGATATATTAAAATAATTACAAGCAATCACTTGAAAAAGTTGTTGTTGTTGTTGTTGGGTTCCTGCGTGGCCTGCGTCTTAACAGAAAAATCTAATTGTGGAGTGAAACCTAAACCATGGGGGGGGGGGTATTATCTAGATCAGTATCAAAGTTTGTTTCTTTCAAATGCTAGTTTTTGTTTCAGTGAACCTTATTATTATTATTCTTAAAAATCGACTTCTCTGGAGTATACTTTTACCCGCTCATATGCTTTACTAGAGTCTCTAGTACGAGTTTTTAGAAAGGCATCGTTTTTACCTTTTAACCATAGTGGCCATGTTTGACTCTTAGTTGATTGAACCGAGACAAAATAAGCGTCATCGATGGACTTATTTCAACAACACATGTAATCAATATAAAGCGTGAAGGGGAGAAAGTTTATGACTGAATAATTAGGTTTGAGCATAAACTAAGTGACGTTATGCGTAAATTGTTGATGTCTACGTGGTTTGTGTTCAGCCATCTTGGTCATAGTGCATTACGATAATGATATTTGCTTAAAAATCTTAACGACTTAATACCCAAAGATTTGGCAGATATATTGAATCTGTTGTTAAAAGTCTTCAGTATTAAGTGATTGTTAAATTTGTTGAATTCAAACTAAATTTGTGATTCGCGTTTTGTTTAAGGGTTAATGTTTTCAAATGTGCAAAATTATGCCACATCAAAAGTTCACTTTACTTTATGTATGTATGTCATATATAATATTTGTTTATTAACCTCATTCCCTGCATATCTTGTTTTAAACTTATAATATTCAAAAATATCTCTTACAATAGTAAATGTGTATAACACACACATTACTACACCAACTTTTCACTGTACACTGAGAGTTTATTCGCGGATTTTTGCCATTAAGTTCTACACTACACATGAATATATACATAGAATAATTATTACAACAATACTTGACTAGTAGAAATTTAGATAATCCGGGGAAGCAGCTCAAAATGAAAAAAAACAAACATGGAAAACCCCGCAATGAATGTAAACAAAATAACTTACATAAGAAAACAGCTAATCTTGTCAGTATATTTGCAGATGAAAAATTAGTCATTTTTATATACGGGTAGGTGGCGCTGTTCACGTTAAACCTCTCTCAGTGGCGAATATTAATACCAATAGTGCTCGTTGTATTTAGTTTTGTAAATCGAATGCATTTTTTAGGCCGACTATCATCCTCTCTTGTAACTTTGACGTAAAGTTCGCAATAATTCCTTCCTTTCAGGACAAGGTTGTCACTACTAAATTGCAAGGAACCTTTCATTGACTGGTTACTAACTTCAAATGCGTAAAAATCCATATTGCATTCATGCCATTGGTATACTGGTACATTTCTACATTGGCATCTTCTAGTTTCTTAGAAAATACGATCGTGTCGTAAAAACATACAATTTCTTTCTACCGCAGACCCCATCAGTGGGACAAAAGATTGATTTAGAATGTGTCTGTCCATGTGCGTGTATTCCCTGTATTCCATCAGGAATCATCATCATCATTTTCTTAACCAGTTAGATAACAAATTCTGAAGGCATGAATAAATCAAACACTTTAATCAGCTGATTGTATTGTTCCTGGAAAGTCAACAAAGATGTCATATTGCGATTCTGATGGTGTCAACATTGTAGTGCCGATTTGGAACAATGAAAGGAAAAATTAAAGCGATTGGAACACTGCCTGAGAGAAACAGACAAGTCTCATATCTTGCTTGATCTGGACGAGATCTCGGCGGATATTTGCATCAAAAGTTCAATTAGGGTTCACTTTTGAAGAATAAGTAGCTAGATTTATTTCTATAAAGATTGCGACCATTTTGTGATCTACTACTTTTTGGAAGGAAATAGTTTAGAGAGCATGGAAATAGGGACAGCTACCACTATCTTAGCAGTCCAGGGCGCCACCTACGCCAACTTGTCAGGTTACCACTATCTTAGCAGTTCAGGGCGCCACCTACGCCAACTTGTCAGGCTACCACTATCTTAGCAGTCCAGGGCGCCACCTACGCCAACTTGTCAGGCTACCTCTATCTCTGAGTCCTAACAATATAAGTACTCACTTCTTTTTGAAACTCATTTGACTGCAAAGGGTCAAATCTAGAACGAAGTTACTCAAATATAATTTCATATTATAAAGGGATTTAAATGAACGTCGTGGCAATATTCTGTGTGCTACTTGAATACGGGGATGTTAAACAAAAACAAATGCATCCTACATACCATAATTTATGTTTAAAACCATTCAGAGATTAATATAAGCAAATTGGCGGTATAAAGGTCATCTCGATCCACCACAAATGACTGAGATTGTGATCGGATGGACCGAGTAGATGTCGGTTGAATGACGATAACATTTACATACAGTTTATTAAATTCACGAGGTATGTATGTAAGCATACCAACAATTTATCTTTTGTAAACACATCTGTAGTAATTGAACAGTAAATATCGACCCAACCATGATTGTACGTAAATAGCTTTGTGAATCATGGTCAAAGTCCAACTGCCAGTGGCCATATTTAACTCTTAGTTGAACTGAGGCAAATTTAGCATCATTGGTGGACCTATTTCAACAACACACGTAATCGGTGATGAGTGAAATGGATTAGGTATATCAATGAATATTAAGTATTCGTGCCCAACACTTGGGAGCATAACCAGAGTGACGTTAGGCGTAAATTGATTTACGTCTACATGGTACGTTTGTGTTCAGCCATCCTGGTCATAGTGCATCACGATAATGATATTTTGACGGATATATGATTATATATGAATTTTTTCATGTGCTTGACAACACACAATATTGAAAAATAGTTGTATTTGCATCAATGATGTCATTTTCATCGTATTACATTTATTGTGAAAGGCTATGGGTTAAACACACAACGGCACCAACCAAAAACACATTTTGCGTCCTATCGGGTGTTCATTTCAGCTCTTCAGGTCTTGCCTTGTATATTGCATCTACAGAATTGATCCAGAATGAGGCTTTATTGGTTCATGGCGTTTGGTGTCTTATTTGCATATTTTATGTACTGTCCGTTGCCTGATGGGATCGCAGAGCCAATGACATTGAGAGTAGTATTTGCTACCAGACAAATTGCAAAACTGGTGGTGAGTAAAAAAAACTTTGTTCATAATACTTAATACATTGTTAACTGTTAGTGTATCTTGCACAAAATATGACAAAGTGCCTACCAATCCAATTATGGCAACTTGCCATACATATTTTGACATATAATCAGATGGTTTCTGTACGAAACTTGGGGTTTACATCAGAAAAGTTACATTCATCTGCAATCACCTGCTTGTTATGTCAGGGGGAAATTCTCGTCTGTCTCTATGTCACGTCTGCTTGAGATACCGGACCGGGAAAGTCACTTAAGCTTTACAGTCAAATAAGACACACACAACGAAATATGTTTCAATAGCTAGTATTTAACCACATCGAGAACGCCTCAAGGCAAACTGCCTCGTCGGGGTCTCTGCCCAGGACTGACCAAGACTCTCTCGCCTCGTGGAGCTCTCTCTGGTACCAAGGACTTAGACCGTTTATTACGTATCAAAACTTAACCAATTACAAAGAAGTTTAAAGAAACAAGGCGTAACCCTCACACATTCAATTTGCACATAGCCAATCACACTAAGTACTGGACACGTCATATCTTTTGATTAATCGTTCACTTGCCATACATATTTTGGCATATAAAGTCACTTAAGCTTTACAGTCAAATAAGACACACACAACGAAATATGTGTCAATAGCTAGTCTTTAACCACATCGAGAACGCCTCAAGGCAAACTGCCTCGTCGGGGTCTCTGCCCAGGACTGACCAAGACTCTCTCGCCTCGTGGAGCTCTCTCTGGTACCAAGGACTTAGACCGTTTATTACGTATCAAAACTTAACCAATTACAAAGAAGTTTAAAGACACAAGGCGTAACCTTCACACATTCAATTTACACATAGCCAATCACACTAAGTACTGGACACGTCATATCTTTTGATTAATCGTTCACTACATTAATAACTGCAAATACCAACTGTCAGAAATAGCGGTCCGGATGGCGATGGTTATATCGTAATTAGTTCCAAATCACTGAGCCAAGTTCCGTCCAGGACCTCGCATGAGCCTAAATGATGACAGGTATTACGTAGTCATTCACTAGTAATCAGCTAAATAAGTCGGTCAACAGATACGCGAAAACTATTTCATGACAGTTATTCAGTAAATTGGTAGAAACCGACCATTACAATAAAATGTGTACATATAATTGAAATATAATCACTAAATTTAGGGTATAACTGTATGTGATATTAAAGGCATTGCCTTCTTTCTAAATAATAATAAATCATTACATTTCTGTCATAGGTTTGAAAATAAAGTATAAAAGACTTAAATTACAATTTCTCTTTAATTTTAAATACATGAAAACAAAATAGAGCAACACTGTCAATATCAGTCGGGTTGTCTGATGCAATTATCTTGTGAAAATCCTGCAAGGTGTTTGCTGTATGGTCCTGGAGAGACTGGGGGAGAAATGTTTGCCTGAATGTGTTGAGTTTTCAACTCGTCTTCAATTTCAGACAAACATAAATCGCAAATTCTATACTCTCTGACGATTCCTCTGTGTTTACCGACTTCTATAGCTAGGGGTTGATCTGAACACCATATGCTCTACGAAGTTTTGTGTTGACTGAAAGCTTTAAGTACATTTCTCTGCCAAAGTTAAATTTAAATTGTCGATAATGATCTGTTTTCTCTGCCGTACATATATCCGAGTACCAAATTCTTTTACCTTCATTTTGCGCACGGCTTTTGAACTCAAGTAGAAAATTTTCACTGTTTTCAACGCCTTGATTTTCCCATACTGTGCCAAAACCTAAATTGTCTAATAGGAGCATTATTTCAGTAGCCCATGTGCGTTTGCCTTGATTGTGTATATCTAAAAGCATTTTATAAGCTTTATTTGGCAGACGCTCGTTCCCTAATCTGGTAATCCTAAGCCAGTTAATGCAGCGTGTTGAGTAATAGCAAAATAATGGAAGTCGTCCGCAGTCTCCCAAAACCATACTTGAAGATGTGCTTCTTGCTAAATGTTTTAACTAATTTCTGTAGAGATTCGGCTCATACGAATAAACAAATAAATCGGCACGCAAGAAATAACAGCATGTAAGTGGGACAGCGTTTGACTGAATGTGTCTTTATAATTGAGTTAATTTCAAGTAGATGGAGTAAGAACACGTTGTAATCGTTTTCGTGTATTTATGTTCTAGGGTATTGGCCCAGTGCTATTTGGTTTCACAGACAGAATCAATTTCACAAGATTGGCACTAAGCTTTCAAGGACGATTGTTCAGTAGTGATGAACCAAGTGTAACATTCCATGATGAAATATTTGATGGTGTTCGAGTGCATGTCTATCAACCGGTAGAGAAATCTAACGAGCCCATTGCTGGTATGGTGTACATTCATGGTGGTGGCTGGGTGTTTGGCAGTGTAGGTAGGTATTCGTTGCCCACACGATGAAAGCAAAACGCGAATCAAGTAATATTCAATTACAGCGCGGAGTCGTCACCTGCGCATGCGTCAGATGGTCATAGCGTGTCTTTGTTTACAGACAAGCGTCTGTCCATGAGCCTTTGCGTTTTTTTTTTTTTTAGCATGTGTTGTTATCGTCGCTTGGGACTCAATTTCTGCGCGTGCGCAGGTGACGATCGTCCCGCTTTAAAATGGATATTATGTTGTACTTTTAATATAGAACGCAAATATGTACACTTTGAGGGTGTGAATGATCCCCACATATTGTGTGTCACCTTTCCTACCTGCAGATTCATATCATCACCAGACCAACTACATGGCGGCAAGACTAGGCATTGTACTGGTATCTATTGAGTGAGTACTATACGTTCTCCCTAATTGACCTAATTAATCATTTTCGATACGTATTAATGTCACAAATATTAACACAAAATTGTTAGCTATGGTCAGCATTATCTTGATGTCTGGCCTTGAATATCGACTTCAGGGAGAGAATACATCGCAAATTTAGTCATTCAAATATAAGTCACTTCATTTTGTATGCATCTCTCATCATATCTATATATCTATTATACCTTTATAAAATATAAAATGATGCGCACATTTTTTTTCGAATGCGAGATTACGTGAGATTATTTGAATAAAACTGGTCAACGCATTTGGTCTCACATTTATGTGGGTTTTTTTTAATTTTCAGCTATCGATGTGCACCAGAACATCCATTCCCGGTCCCATTACAAGATGTGGTCAAAGCTACTGTATGGTTTCTCCAGCATGCCAAAGACTACAATGTTGACCCACACAGAATTGCTCTGGTTGGTGTTAGCGCTGGGGGAAATCTGGCTGCAGCAACGGCAAATTTGTTGACTTTGCAAGAAGAATACAAACAAATGAGTCTACCTAAAGTGAAATTCCAGGGTCTGATTTATCCATGTCTACAGAGTCTAAACTTTCTCACTCCCTCCTATCAACAAAATAAAAACTTTTTCATCCTAAATCAGCATATGATGGCTGAATTTTGGTCATTGTATCTAACTGGTTCTCTAACGTACGTTGCCGCTATGAAAGTCAACAATCATACTTCACCTCCCGTTAAGAAAGATCAGCGGCATATAATGCACCATGATGTCATACCCACAGAATTCAAACAGCGAGATTATACTCCACCGAACGATTCAGACTTTGGGGATGTGGAAATCTCAGCACACCTGGAGAGCTATATTCTGAATCCATCCTTTGCCCCACTGATGGCATCTACTGTGGAAGGATTGCCACCGGCATATATCGTTACAGCAGAATTTGATGTATTGCGAGATGATGGTATTTTCTACGCAAAGAAACTGGAAGATGCCAATGTGCCAGTAACATGGAAACACTACAAAAGTGGATGGCATGGAATGCTCACGCTCTTCACAGGCCCATTGACGTGTGCAGTCTGTAAACAGTCTATGGATGAATTATTGCAGTTCAGTCGTGATAATTTATAAACATTAGAATCACAGTTTGTCATTTCTTATCCAAATCAATGTATTAAGTGTTTTCACCAAATGCAAATTATGTTCTCCTTACCTAAGTATGGTATTCAGAACAATAGAAATGATGACGAGAGTGTTGAACTTGATTTGAAGAGAGAATAAACTATCTAGCATCTCAGCTGCCATTCTCATTTAAGGTCTAGTATTTGTTTCCAGTATTAAACACTACTTCCTCAAAAAAGTAATATCTTTCGAAATTGTAATGTCAGTTGTGTTTAATATTTTGATTCCACGAACTACCATCAAAATATAATCGAATTGAATCCTATTGTTGTTCCATCTTAATAATGTATTAATTATTCACATATCTAATTTACAAAATATATTTTAGATACACATTTATTATTAACAGGATATTATGCATATGGAGAAAGATATTCGAATGAAGTATTAGTTGGTAGTGTTACCTTATTAATTATGCACATATATAATCAACAGAAATCTATTTTAGATGCAGACTTCTTATTGGGTTTTACGCAAAATGATGGAAATATTTGAATTAAGTATTACCTGGTCATGGTAATTAATTATTCACATATTTAATTCACAAAAATACATTTTAGATACACATTTACTACTGATTATGCACAGGGATGATTATACTTGAATAAAGTGATAGCTGGTCATGTGACCCATTAATTATCTGCATATCTGATTTCCAGATATCTTTTTATTTAATGGCTCTGCAATCAATTATCAAACAAGTACAATACTTTTTTTAATTGGAATGGAATCCCCAATGGTTTATTCTAAACATATGTAGGTAATACGAACAATGCGGCGCCCTCTATTCCTAGTGTGGAACAATATTCGCAGTGTTTTATGATAAACACCTCTTGGTGGCGTTCTTTACCACAACACCTTGCATAAAAGTCCTCGCCCAGGAATTTGCCATAACCAAGTGTGTAAACATCAATAAATACACCTGTATGCTACATTATTTATAAGTAATGGCTGGAATATGCCTGTTCGATTCATTTCTGTTCGGTACACAATATTATCCGATAAGTGCTTATAAAAACAACAGTTTGATTGGTGTTAATGTAATTATTTCACTTCACTTCTTCTGGATACAATAACTATATCCTTAAAATTTATTATTAGATAATAGTCTGTTTATTAAGTAGTTTAACAACTTTATCTGATTATACACTCATTTCCCTATACTATCAACATGTTTATCAATTCTCATGAAATGAACGAGTTACAAACTGGTAACGTTGATGGCGGGATACATAAACTAAAGCCAATATACAGTACGGTGAATGCGGCACTAGCATTGCAAATCCAATCCAGCAACGCCCCCACACCTCCCAGTAAGGAGTACTCTAGTTCATCATTCGGGCACACGTGTCCAGACATGTGCCCCGCTTCGCACGAAGCCCTGGATTCAGGTCAATAAACATTTCAGCAAATTGGACTCCGACCATTGATCATGTGATATGGCGACACGCACGTGATTGGTACGAATGCATATTAATATGGCAGTGTTATCTGTCCATGTCGGAGGCGTGCCACTGGAAGTGTCGGGACATACGACTTAGTTTTACGGCAGGCACCACAACATCACCGCGGTTGTAATATGCAGGTCATCTACCCATATACAACGCTATTACCGTCCGAGTACATGGTTTTATTCAGTCCCACCCCGCCCGAGTTTAGGGGGAACTCAAAATGATTAAACAATATGCACGAGATCGGCTAGAGGTACAAGCGGGATTAGTTGCAAGCAAGGGTGGATTCACTGAGGAGATAAAGTATCCTTTATGCGACTGATTTATTTCTAACGTCCGGTTCAAAACTTGGCAAATATAAAGACTACGGGGTGATGACGTTGGTGTGGCCGATCTATTTACTTGTCAATCGATTTGGATGCAGTAACCCCCCCCCCCTCCGTATGCTGCTGTCCACTCTCACTCGGCACTGAATACTATCTAGAGGTAAACACATAAAAGTCGTACTACTTCATTATGCCACTCCAATAAATGGAGACCCAAAGTCTGGACGAGATGCTGTTGCGAACACCACAGAGTTACACTACGACTATATTCTTGAAACCACACCCATTCTTGCGACACCATCCCAAAAATCACGCCCAAATTGTAACTCTAAGGTCAATTAACCGAACTCCGAGAAATGTACAATCCTAAACAAAACTCTAACAATTCAGCATCTCTAAATGTAAGTGCACGTCGACAGAACGGTGTTGGTTGGTTCAGCAAGTTATTGGGGGGGGGGGGGGGGTTGTAGCATGAAGTTCTACGTGTGTAGACATACATCGTATACGTTTGACATTGGGGGTGGTAGTCAGATGGGGGATATAGCATGCACAAAGTAACATAAAATATAAACAAAAATATTTATTAATCCTGAAAAATGACCGCCATATTCATTGTATGTCTAGTCTGAATGCATAATCACATAGTACTGGTAATTACGCCATTAAATCATTCTACAAACGAGAATATGTGCTATTTATCACTCCCGAGTACCGGGGAGGTCTGGCTCACACCGATATTTTCTTCTGGGCATACAGTATTTCTCTCAGGACTAGGGGTTATTTTATTTACCCCAGGACCGTCATCAACTGCATTACAGCCAGTGAACCGATCTGTGTGGCGAGATCTCACGAACTCCCACGTTGTGTCGTCCAATCTTGTGTTAACGTTTCGCCAGGCGCTCAAATTCCTTCAGAAACGATGCTTCGTCTTTGTCTCCATGGAAGACTGCCTCACCGTTAATGACGAAATATGGAACTTCTGAATAAGAAAAACAATGACATGCACATTATTGGACGATTTAAACAGAAATCTAAATAATTAGCAAGTAAAGACGGAGAGATACATCCTGCCTGATTTCATGCCCTGATTACGTTCAAAGAAACATATTCAAAGCGGGCAAAACTTTGCAATTTAGACTAGATTTCCTGGGCATTTCCCGACTACCTTTGCCACCTGCTCAGTATTTCGGTTGCGTATGCTGCCCTCAACGGTAAGTGTTCAAAACATGGCGTGCGGGCTACCTTTGCGTACAACAACTCGGCGACGAGCGGCGAAATTCGAGTCAAATGCGTTGTATTTAAAGAGAGTCAATATTGGAAAACCAGTTACATTTTTATCATTCATCATAACATTTATCAATTTCATTCTCGAATTATTACTTTGTTTTTGATTCATTGACAAGCATTCTAAACAGTTTTGGCCTCGAAAAAGAGTTATAAATTTAAATACCGACTAAGTAAGTGTACCACATTTCATTTCCATAATGCCGTTTGTTCATAAGAGATCAAGCCTCCAGAGTGGCAAAGTTGGGACTTTTTTTTTTGGTTTACAAATAAATAACTGTCAATTTAGCCTTTTTAACGTGATCGCGAAAACTAGCGTGACTGCGAAAGAAATCTCGACTGAACGCATCTGCAGGCGACCCCTTGGGATGGAGTGAAAATCGGAGCGGAATCACGCCGGTGATTACGCTAATTAAAAAATGTTGACGAGCATTGACAACGAATCAAAGTGCAGCTGTATACGTCATCTCTTATCTATGTTAATGTACCTGAACTTTCAATTCGCAAGTCCCGGCGTTTTTGTGCGACTACTTATATATATATATATATATTGGACATTTAAATCGACTTCTTTTCAGTAAACATGGATGAAAGTATCGCAGTTTCACTTAAAACGGTTAAAGTATCAATCTCAAATCGAATCAACCTTTAAAAGGTCACGTATTCACATTAATAAAGGAATCTTTATTTTTTTTACCAAATTTTTTAGTTGGTATTCGTCATTGTTCGATTTCATATACCAGCTTATAAATTTCACCCAGGTGTTTTGTGCGCGCGTGTTTTTTCGTACGTCCACGGGCATGCTTTATATGGCAACTCCGTCCACTTGTGGAGGTAAACCTCCATGGTCTAATCAATCTTGCACATGTCACGTGTGGTCTCGAAAGCGTGATCTAGTTAGTGCACGTGATTTTGTGGGCCTGATCTTTACACGTGACCGTTTCAAAAAAGTGCGATTACGGAGGGTAATTATCGTCGTCGCCTTTGTAATGACAAATAACTAAGACAAACATTACCAGTAACGCCTTTGTCACTCCATTCCTTAGCTTTACTGGTAATAACTTTCTGGTTATCAGGGTTGGTTATGTGAGATTTCGTAGCATCTACATCCAGACCGACAGACTTGGCATACTTTAGAAGGTTGTCCAAAGTCTGCCCTTCAGCATCAGTGAAGTGCGCCTGTAAAATACAAAAACGACAAGATAAAGTACACGCATGTAATCCGGCGACTCAAATCCTAAAATGGTGACTAAAGGTGAATTTTCAACTTGAGTGGACAAGATAAGTTTGTAAAGCAAAGGTACTACCAAACTGCGTTAATGAATATTAAAAACATATTGAATAATAAGTACATTCCCACCTGCCAATTTTGTTTTATGTAAAAATATATTGAAAATACATAAATTTGCAAAATGATGACCGGAAAAAGTACGATGGTCGTCACGCCACGCATGCGCGAGATATATGGGTCTCATATAAACAAAGATAGCAACTTTAACTTTCGTGCAGATGAAGGAGTACAAACTGAGACGTTTCCAAGCTTAAATTAGGTAAGTTTTAGGTGATTGGAAGGTATCAAAAGAGTCACTGGCGGCATTCAGTGCAAGCCGCGCCTAGATCAACCTTCATACTTGTGATTTCCATTAGAAGAGCACATTGGACTGTGGGAAAATCAATGTTTATCAAAACAAATGTCGCAGATGCCCAGCGCGACGACCACCGCGCTTTAATTACCTTAAACAAGACTTCTACAAGATCGTTCTGCGTGCTACCACCGGCCTGCTTAGAGTACTCCACCAGTGTATGAACCAAAGTGGTGTTTGGTAGTAATTCAGTTTTACACGTGAAATCAATGCCGACGGCTTTACCATTTTCCTTTAAGCTAGAATAAACCACAGATACAGATGATAGACTATGCATGCAACTGTTTTATGTCTTCGAATTTCCCGCAACAATCAGACTGTTGTTCCAGTGTATTCACAGTAATTATTCGAGCGACTAAATAAGGCAAGCGATATAAACTAGGACTATGCACTCAGTATTAGAACGTGATTGATTACGTAACTGCGGCACAAATAAACGTACTTACTCGATTTTAAGAACGATACCTCATTTTAGGCCATATAGTATTTGTCAGATTTCATATTATATTATGAGCAAGGTCAGAAGTAACGTTTATGCAAAGTGTCGATTTTATACCTTTGAAGTTTCTAATTTATTATTCATCAATTCTGAATTCATCCCATGCCAAAAAACAAAACAAAAAAACGCACACACATGATAGACTGGAAAGTTTAAAACTATTTCCATTTTGATTGAAAAAATAAAAAACGTAAAATTTACAATTAGGGCTAAACAAAAATATATATAATATTGTATTGTATTGTATTTAGTTGCATCTCTTTTTACCTCCATGTATTTACTATTCATTGTGAATTACAATTTAATAAATAAGTGATCTAGAACCTGGGTC